ACACACACACACACACACACACACACACACACACACACACACACACACACACACACACACCCCCTCACCTAATCTTCACAACAGCCCTGGGGATGGGTGCTATCACCCCCATCCCCATTCTGCAGAGGAAGAAACTGAGGCTGAGTCACCTGCCCAGAGTCACAGGGTATCTAAAGGCAGGATTTGCACTGAGAGCTTCTTGACTCCTGGTGCAATTCATTCATTCACCTCCATGTTCACTGACAGTTTGTATCATTACTGCTCGTTCAGGGGGGCCAGCACTTTCCAAGCCTTCCTCTGACTCGGGCTGTTCCCACAGCCTCCTTGTGCTCATGGCTTACCTGAGCCCATGGGTAGCCCCATCTTAATGGCCCCATGACGCAGGGCATAGGACAGAGCCTTGGACAGCCGCACGTCCCGGTCCTGAAACAGCCCAAAGGCCGACAAGGTCCTTGCCCCTTTCCCACCAAAGGTGCCCAGCCCCTCCTGCCCCCCAAGAGATCTGCTGGGTAACAGTAACCATGGAAAGGCCCCCTTGGGTGCCCCAGAGTTGGGAGAGGGCGGGGAGGGGAAGTATCCATCAGTCCCTGAACCTGTGGGCCCCCCAGGGCTGGTCTGCTGGGCCAGCTGCTCTGGCTCTGACAATCTCAGCCCCCCTTCCCCATCATGGGGCAGAGCAGCCACCTGAGCTGAGCTCCCCAGGGGAGCCCACGGGCTCTCACCTGTTCTCGGAGTCTCCGGGTCCTCCTTCCCCTGGGCCCAGCTTGCTGGGACGTCTGTCCCCCAGCGGGGTTCATGCCCCTCACTCCCCAAGGAACCTAGGAACATAGGATTTAGAGCTCTGATATTTAGATATCACCCGGTCTGTCTACCTCGTTTTACAGAACAGGAAACCGAGGGCCACAAAGTGAAAGGAAGTTGTCCCAAGTCACAGAGGTCATTTGGGGCACAGCCAAGACTCAGAGACTCCCAGTCCAAGGCATTTTCAGCTCCACCCCGCTCCAGGGTGGCAAGGGAGAGATGGGGGTGCTGCTCCTGCTCCGTGGCCTGATTGCCTGCGCTCCCCCCTTCCCACTGTGCCCGGGCTTGAGTTAGGCGGGGAGGGCTGAGGGGCAGAGCCCTGGGCAGGGCAGAGCTGGGGCCAGAGATCAGAAAGGCAGCAGGGCCAAGGAGGAATCTGGATCACTGCTTCGTCCTACCCGTCTGACCCGGGGCAAGGCCCAGAGCCCCCATCTCGGTTTCCTCGTCTGTAAAGACAGGGGAATGCAACAGACGAGCCGCAAGGGCCCTAGAAATCCAGCCGGGGCCGATCCTCACCGGGCTCCTGCCGGGTGCCTGCCCGCCGGATCTCGGGCACGGAGGGAGCCAATGAGAGCTGGGGACCGGAGGGAGTGAGACTCCTTCCGCTTTCGTTCAGGGAGGGGAGGAGCCGGCCCCAGCGGAGCAGGAGGCTGGAAGCAGCAGCTGCAGCCTCTGAGAGCTGCCCACACAGTCGGTGCTGGGCTGGGGCTGGGCGCCGGGGGGCATGGCCGGGGCTGGGACCCCCCGGAGGCCAGCAGTGGGCAGGGGATGCCCGGCAGGGCAGTGGTAACTCTGCCCCATCTCCCTCTCCCACCAGCCTCGTCCCCTGCGTTCTATGGATCCTGAGGTCTCCCTGCTCATCCAGGGCCCGCTGGGCGGGCTTGCCGAAGAGCGGGTGCGGGCAGAGTTGAGCCCAGCTTACGACCGGCGCCCGCTGCCTGGAGGGGAGGACTCCATCATCGCCGCCTGGAACGCCCGCCGGCAGGCCCAGCCCTGGCTCTTCAATGCTCCCAAGTTTCGACTGCACTCGGCAGCCCTGGGGCCCCCCGACCCTGGTGGGCCCTGCCTGACGCTGCGGATGGGTCTCACCTCCTACCAGGACTTCCTGGGCACCAACTGGGCCAGTTCAGCAGGCAGGCTTCGGTGCCAGGGGAAAGCTGACTGGGGAGATGCCCAAGCCTACTTGGCAGACCCGCTGGGAGTGGGTGCCATGCTGGCCACTTCGGATGGCTTCCTGGTCTTTCTCCGCCGGTCTCTGAGGGTGGCTGAGGCCCCTGGGCTGATAGATGTGCCTGGGGGGCACCCTGAGCCTCAGGTGAGCACCTACACCCTGCAGAGTCAGGCAAAGAGAGCCCTAGAAGACCTAAAAACAAGGAGAATTAGGGGTGGGGAGGGCTGGGAAGCTGTACTCTTGGGGGTTCATTTCCCCTTCCTCTCCCGTCTTCTAACTGTCCAGAGCTGTGGGGAAAGAGGCCCAGGGCCTGAGAGCTGAGAACCTACCCGAGGAAGGAAGGCACTGTGGTAGAAAGTTACAAGGTGGCGGATTGTGGCCTGCCTCCTACCGCTCCCAACGCCGGCATCTACAGTGCAAACGGGAGATGGTCACCATTGGTTTGTTGAGTGAGGAAAATGAAATTGATGAAGAGAATGAGGGAATGGGGAAGATGGACCAAGCAGGGTGAAACGCCTGAGAGGCAGTGTGGTGTAATGGGTAGAACGCCAAACATGGGTTCAAATCCTGCCTCAGACACTTCCCCCGCTAGCAAGGTGAGGCTTGGCCAGTCTAGCCATGCACCTTCTCTGGGCCTCATTTTCCTCATCTGTAAAATGAGGAGGTTGAACTCCATGGCTTCTAAGGTCCCTTCCAACTCTCAGCCCATGACCCTATGATTCTACCTTCCAGTCAAGATGGTAACACACACATATGGAGGCAAATGCATAAGACAGAAGAAAAACTACCAGGAAAGGCCTCATGGAGAAGTCGGCGTTTCCATTGGGTTTTTTTGTTTTGTTTTGTTTTTTAGGCAATTGGGGTTCAGTGACTTGAGCAGGGTCACACAGCTAGTAAGTGTCAAGTGTTTGGTCTGAAGCTGGATTTGAACTCAGGTCCTCCTGACTCCAGGGCCGGTGCCACCTAGCTGCCCCTTTCCATTGAGTTTTGAAGGGAGGCAGAGATTCCAAGAGGAGAAGCTGAGTAGGGAAGGCATTCCAAGTATGAAGGAAGGAAAGAGGGAAACTAGCATTTATTAAGCCCCTACTATGTGCCAGGCACTGTGCTAAGCCCTTAACAAAAATCATTTCATTTGATCTTCACAACAACCCTGGGAAGTAGGTGCTCTTACCCTGTTTTACAGATGAGGAAATCGAGGCAGAGATTAAATGACTTACCCAGGGTCACACAGACAGTAAGTATTTGAGGCCAAATTTGAACTCAGGTCTTCCTGACTCCAGGCCCAGTGCTTTACCCAATGTGCCCCTTAGCTGCCCAACAAAGGAATTTCCGTTTGATGCTTTTGATAATAGGAAGCCATTGAAATTTACTGAGAATAGGGCAGGGGTGTTAGGATCAGACCTGGGCTTTCAGAAAATCCCTTTGGTGGCTGAACCGAGGATGGGCTGGAGGCAGGCAGAGCCGCCCCCAGGCTATCACAAAACCCCCGGCTGAGGCGGTGAGGGTGGACGCCAAGGTGACGATGGCCACGTAGACCGAGAGAGAGGATAGATGTGAGAGAGACTCTGGAGGAGGAAACAGGACTTAGCAACCGATTAGCCATTTGGGGTGCGTGAGGGTGAGGAATGTCACAGATGACCCCCGGGGCGACTGCAGAGATGCTGCTGACCTCAGCAAAAATAGGGAAGTGCAGCCAACGAGTATTAAACCCCTACTGTGTGCGAGGCATGCGAGGTGCTAGAAGCTGGGGAAAGGGGTGGGTCCCGAGGGGTGATGAGCTCCATTTTGGACATGTTGTGTCTGCTGCCTAAGGGACATTCGCTTCAAAATGTCTAGTAGGCATTTGGTGATGAGGACCAGAGGGCTGGAGAGAGGCCAGGGTCAGTGACGAGGTTCAAAGCAGGAGAGGAGAAGACAGTGTGTTTAGTGGAGAAGCAGAGGAGACGTCTAGGACCGGGGGCATCAGGGGAGGGTTTCCGAAGGACTGCAGCCACTGGGGAGGTTTTCAGGTAGCAGGGACAGGGGGAGCGAAGACAAGTGACAGAGGGGCCGGTCTGCCGGAGGGGCCGGCCACGAGGTACCATCTTCTTTCTGCGTGATCACCTCGCTCGTGATCGGGCTTCACAGAGGTGGTGGACCGTGGGTGAGCAACGCGGCATCTACCATCCCACCTGTTCACGCCTTGATTCGTTTTGCCAAACTGATAGTTTTTCTTCTCTAATCCATGAGACAACAGCCAATGCGCTGAGATGGAGTAGGGAGGAGCCCTCCTCCCTGTGTGGCCCGGGCAGGTCATGTTGCCTCTGAGCTCTAGGCAGCTCCGAGACTCTTAGTGCCAGAGAAGGTGAGGGCTGCGTTACCCGAGAGAGCTCCCCGGACAAGAAATCCCAGGCCCGTTCTCTATCCCTTTGGCTCTTTGTCGCCAGGAACCAACGGCTGGCGGAGGAGTTATTTAAAAAGGAAGGGGTAACAAGGCCAACGGGACAGAACAAAACAACATGTTATTAACAAGGGCAAACTGTTTACACCCCTACAAGGGAAGATGACACTTGTAACTCTTGAGAACTCCACTGTTATTATTACACCATGTTAAAGGCTATACATAAAGGGGGTGGGTATAAGTTGACTTTGATGTTGTGACAAAAAAAAAAATCTAATCAAGTGGGTTAGTGGATTAATCTGATCTAAGAAAATGCACTGAGAGAAAAGGAAAGAAGGAGGCAGACGAGGGTAAATTATGTTACAGGAAAAGGCACCAAAACCTGTTACAGCAGAGGGAAAGAAGCGAGGGAGATGAGCATTGTCTGAACCTTCCTCTCCTCGGATTCGGCTCAAGGAGGGAATGACATAATTAGTTAGGTCTGGAAATCTAACTGGCCCTATAGGCAGTAGGAGGGAAAAGGGGAAAGGAATGTATGGCCTATATCAGATTGTAGGCTGTCTTGGGAAGGGGGAAAAATTTTAAACTCAAAAGCTTATGGAAGTGATTGTTGATAAGTCAAAATAAATTAGTTTAAAAAAAAATAAAAAGGAAGGGGATGCCAAACCCAAAGTCAGAGGCAGGCCTGGAGCCCCAGGTCTCCCGGGCCTGAGAGCGTGGCTCTTTTCTGGCCAGCACTTTGCCCTCTCTCTTCCTCTGCCACTCTGATGTGCTTCAGTGGGGGCTGGGATGAGGGCACCAGAGCAAGGCCGGTCCGCCTGACAAGTCTCCTCGGGCCCGAGAGGCGAGGCTGCCCCGGGGAGGGGAGAGCTGAGGCTGCCTCCTTGTAGGCCCTGTTTCCTGGGGAGACGCCCCGGCACGAGGATCTTCCTGGGGGCCTGGTGGTTCTGGAGCTGTTCTCATCCATTCTGCAGGAGATCCGGGATGAGGTGAGGGGTCTGAGCCTGAGGCTGGGGTGGGGGGGTGGAGGGCGGGGAGAGCAGGAGCTGAGGTGATGCCCCCTGACCTCTGACCCCATCCCTGCCAGGTGAACGTGCCGTTGTCGACTTTGAGCCGTCCCCTCCTTCTGGGCATTGCCCGAAACGAGACCAGCGCGGGAAGGGCCAGTGCTGAATTCTATGTCAGGTAATTGGGCATCCTATGGGGGATGGCGCTTCTTTCTTCTGAGGGACAGAATCAGAACTAGGAGTAGGCAAACGAGGGGGGGAGTGGGGCACAAACATTTTAACGTGGCTTTTTTAGAAATAGTCGTATTTTTAATATCCTGCTGTCTACGAACTGCTGAGCTTTCTTCTGCAATTAAGCCAGATCCCACTTTTCAGGGAAAGGGTTCATTTTCCAACACTTTGCTCCTGGTCTTCTAGGAGAGGCCTGGAGGCCCAGGCTGGGGGAACCAAGATCTGGGCAACTGGAGCCCCAGGGCACGACTGAGCTTTGGGGCCCCTGGCCAGAGCAGTTCTGCCCTGCTCCCAGAAGTTTGCCTTCCCCTCCTTTAGCTGTAGCCTGACCTCTGAGCAGGTGAGGACCCTCTATATGATGGGAGGACCGGAAGCTCATGAATCCACTGGCATCATCTTCATGGAAGTGCAGGTGAGAGCTGGGAGCAGGAGGCCCGGGGAGCAAGAGAAGGTCAGACAGGCTGGGGGTGAGCGAGCCAGGGCTGAAGGTGAATCACATGGGCAGAAAGAAAAGATGTTTTAAGATGTTCCCAGCCAAGATGGAGACTTTAAAGAGGGTAAGTAGGCAATCCTGAATCTGCGCAATGGATGTCTGGAGCCCAAGGGAAGTAAGTGGCTGGTCAGTGCTAGCTCCTGTGTGAAAGGTCTCGAGTGGATGGCCAGCTCTGGGAGAGTCTGGAGCAGTCATGGGAGTACCCTGGCTTACCCTGCCTTAATGGGAGCAGACGATGCACAAGCAAGATGGTGTCATGTTCAGCTGTGGGCGCAGCGTTTCAGGACTGGCATTGATAAAACAAAGCCTGTCTGGAGGAGGATGGCCCATGTGGGGAAAGAGGACATATTCACATCACAGCCGTGGTAGAAAGAAATGGGAATGTTTATCTTGGAGAAGAGAAGGCTGAGGGATACATGGATGGCCGTCTTCTCATCTCTGAAGGCTGACAAATGGTAGAGGTACTCTGCTTGGCCCCAAAGAACAGAGCTGGAGCGCGATGGGCACAAGGCTGCCTAGACTGCCTGAGGAGCCTGTAGGCTGCCCTTCCCTTCAAGCAAAGGCTGAATGGTTCCCTGCCGGAGATGGTGGAGAGGGCATTCTGGGCGGGGAGGGAGGATGGGTAGATGCACAGAGGACCTCTGAGGTCCCTTCTGGTGGTAAGAATGCAAGTAAGAGAGGAGGATGCCCCAGCGTAGCCAGGAGGGAGGAGGTGAACCCTTATCCAAGTCTGTCTTTCTGCACAGAGAGTCAGACGCCTGCAGGAGGAGTCTGAAGCCTGGAGCGAGCTCTGTCCCTCAGCCAAGGGCGCCATTTTGCTCTACAACCTGGTCCAGGCCAGGCCGGCCTGAGGAAAGCTCCTGCCTCCTGGAATCCTGCACTCCTTTCTCAGCTCACCTCCACCTTTCTGTCCTGGACTGTATGGACAATAAAGGATTTCTTCTTGGAGCTCTGGCGTCTACTCTGTCTTGTTTCAGGAGTCCTCCATAAGGGATTGTGCCTTAGTTTCTCCCAAATGGACAAAGAGGCATGAACTTACTGTGTGACCTCAGTCTTCCCCATTTATATAGTCCTGGAATTTAGGAACGAGATCAG